ATTCGATGTCCAATTTGGGGAAGTCTTTGGTAATACTGAGCTCAAATAACTCAAGATGATGAGAAATGTCGTTATGATTTCTCTTGTTACAAGAGCCGTAACAAATGAACAATATATAGTGAAAATACACAAATTTGAAATAGATATAGATACCTCTAGAGAGAGAACCGTATGAGATGTATACAACTGCTAGGGTTTCCAATGGAGAGGGAAGAATCAATATCGTGGGTGAGAGGAATGACACAGGTAGTAGTAGTAGAAATATCAGCAGCAGGAGCAGGGATCTCAATCCATTTCAATGAATCGCTGCCGATGATTGGAACCTCCATGCCTGTCAATGCCGACCTACTTCCATCTTCTCGTATCAATAACCCCAAAACTCTTAAACCCCAAAACCCTTAAACCCTCGAAACCCTTAAACCCTCAAAACCCTATTTGGGAAAATTCTCCAAATCAATAAAAATTAAAGAGTTGGAGAGAGGCCATTTCAGGCGGCCCAGAAGCATGACGAGGTGTACCGGGTTTTTGGGTTTTTAAGATGGTGGTCGCGACTCGGCAGCAAACGACGCCGCAGTTCAACTTGAGGAGAGCGGGAGAAGCAGAGGGGTAATGCCAGTGGTGGCGAACCAGAGAAATATAGTTTGAGAACAATAGGCTTTGCTTCTTATTATCGGCTTACTTGTTAATGGGTCCCCAGGTTATCATGGGCTATATGACACATGACTCGTACAATCGGGTTGGGTAGCAAATCCGGGTCATTATATGGGTGCACAGGTAGGGGCGGGCATAAAAAACCGTGTTGACAGAAAAAATCAACTTAAGTTCATGAATCGGGCCGAATGTTCATACCGGCTCCTGTTTTCATCTTGTAGAACCATCAGAACCGGACCGAACAATTTATTTATTTTTTATTTATAAATATCTAGTTCACTTAGCCCATTTTATATATACACCCAAATGAAATTTAATAAGTCCTAAGCCTAAAAGCCATACGTAAACCCTAATGTTTAAAGCTGGCATTTTTTTTCTTTTCCTCATCTCTTCCTCTCTTCTTCTTATGTGCCTCACCACTTTTCCATTTTCTTCGGTCCTCTTCTTCATTTTTTTTTCTTTGGATCTCCTCATCCATTATTCCAACAGGTAGCCTCCATCTCATAATACCCCAAACATAGGTTTTCTTTCTTGTAACCTATGATTGATGTGTACTAATGGTTTATTTAAGAGTGTTGCAGGAAGTAGTATTGTTAGCCATTAGTTGAATTTATATTTATTGCTGGCACAGATTTATGTATGTATGGCATGCTCTAGCTCGGTATTGGGGTGGAGTAAAACTAGCTAGGGGAGAACTGTAAATTGGTATGAACCGAACTAGAACCGTCGTGAACCGAACTATACCGATTTAATAATAAATTTGAGCAAAATGTCACAGAACCGAACCGTTGATATTTTTCGATTCCGAATTGAGAGGGTCGAACCAAACCGTGCCCACCCCTATACTGGAAGGCATTTACATCGGAAATGGATAGTAATGTAATTTACAATCATCTACACATTTTATGCTTGTGTTTATTAGAATTTTACCGCTAAACGGTTTTTTGGGCCAACCTTCGAATGATTTTTCGTTGTTGAAGAAGTTGTTCATATCTTTAACGACTGTTTCTAGAAACCTACCTTACCTTTATTGGAAAAATGACAGAAAGCTCGTCGAAAAGTTCAGGAGTGACTATTCGGGGTTGTCAAGTTTTAGTTCCGAGTTTGGAGGAACGAAAGGTATGGTTGTGAATAGGGGATTGAGGTGAGGTTGGGCCAGTGGCGGATCCAGGAAAAATATTTTCGGGGGATCACATGTAAAAGTTTACAAACACTTTTTAGACATATAATAAATTTAAAAATCAAACCATAGTTCCATCATTGATAACTTATAGAACAAATTACAATACAAGTTACAATAGTCCCCAACGCGTTTTCATATTTTGAAAACATTGCATTATAACTTCATTGTCAAGGGAAGAAAAAATAGTGCTCTCTATATAAACCATCATGCTATCACTCAACCATTGATCTCCCATTCGGTTACGCAATAGAGTTTTCACAATATTCATAGCGGAAAAAGCTCTCTTCACTGAAGTAGTGGCGATTGGTAGAACCAAAGCCAATGTAATTAGCAAATACACATGATTATATACTATATTCCTCCCCGTCTCCACCTTTTTTTTTTGCAAGGCTACCAATTCCTTTCAATTGAGAAAATTCACTACTTGAACGCATATCAATAATATAATGCCCAATTTGATCTTCAAGTGCCAAGAGTTGACAAGTAGTAAATTCATTCGGATAAAATGAGCAAAACAAATTAGCTTTTGTTCATCAAAAGCCGAGAATAAATCATTCGGGCTCAAACTTGCTAAACAAAGAAACAACTCTGTATTTACCTCATCTAAGCGACTATTTAATAAATTAATTCCACAAGTTGCTTATCAACGATAGCAACAAAGAGCTCCACATGATAATAATGGAAGTTTGTGATTCTTTGAACTTTACGCCGTGATCTCCCTCGAGTAACATATCCATCATCCATGCGTTTATTTTTTTGGCTCTTGGTGTTTATTTTTTTAGGGTAAATGACAAAAAACTACCTCAACTATTGGTGTCATTACACTTTCATACCTCATCTTTTAAAGTTGACAATGTCATACCTCATCTTATTATTTCATTGCAAAATATTTGTCTAAATCGAAATATTTGCTGATAATTGATCAGTTGGTATTTCTTAAAAATCGATATTTATGTTAGGGCCCAATAATTTCCCCTATAAGCCTAATAATATGTCAAAGCCCAATCATTGCATGCAAGTCACAAGCTAAACTTAAATTCATGCATAAAGTGCGAGATGTGGGGTATGCGAGCTTACGATCACGCCACACCAATAATAGTTTATAAATTGAACATTTATAAATCATGACAAACTCATACAAATTATGCATATTTATCGTGTCAAGCCATAGAATAATATTAATACGTTAAACGACACGCTTAATTGGGCCCAAGCCACATAACAGGGCTTGCCGAGTGGGTCGTGGTGTGAATGGTTATGAAAATTTATCGAGCCTATATGAAATTAGAATTGTGGAATATTTTGGGTTGCTTGGGAGCACCAAAACTCAAGCTCATGATTTTAAGCTTTGCTTGAACTTTGAAACTTTTTTTGCCATTTGCTTGAAATTTGACAAATTAAATTAACTTTGAGAGGAAATTTGAATTAACGTTTTTTAATTTTATGCTGCTTGTTCTTGTTTAGGAAGGGGCAGTTTGTACAGGAGGCGTAGCTATTAGGCTACTACTTATTAGTATTCGTAATAACTAACTATAGGTTTTTGAGTTTTCATGTGTATTGTAATTGTATTATGGGGATAGTATTTCAGCATTTGCTTCCTTGGAGGCCAGCCAGAGAACTAACTAGTATGTGTCATGTTATGTCTATATATTCTCAGCATTTGCTTGGTCTTTGCATATTATACCTACTTGGTTCTTTTTGGTGAAAGTATCACGTTATATACATTGAAGAAAAGAATTTAGAGGTCGAGGTTTATCTATTAGGTGTTCTGAAAACATAGAAGGTGGACATGATTAGAATTAAACTAATTTGTTTTGGCATATAAGCTAACGTAATTGGTTTGTGTCTGTTAAACGTTTCAAAAAAATATACAGATTGGGCAATCTCTGTCAAACACGGGAGGCATATATTAATATATGTGTTAATCAATGGTATTACACAGTACTCACAGGTAATGCAATATACGTGCCATGCAGATTGTAAAACATGGTGGCAAGGAAATTGGGGTTCAGTGGAGGTGTCTTAGTTCAGTTCTTCTGTTAGGAGTCAAGTTGCAGGTTTTGGAACTCTTGTATGCATATCGTTTCTGCCTGTGTGTTCGTGTGATAGAGAGAGTTTTAAGCTGGATAATTGCATTTATGTGTACTCAAATCTTTAAATTCAATCTCCATGAATGTGATTGTGTTTTCATATTTTCTTTTGTGTTTGTTCAAACATTAACGATGCACCTTTTCTTTCGTTCATTCCAGTTTGAAAATCACTCACTTGTTACCCATAGGTTAGTAGTTATATAAACATTTTTTTGTCGAACAGCAAAGCTTCACAAGGCTAAATGTTCCTTCTCCTATCAATGAACTTCCTAAATGTCAAGAATGAACACTATTGATTGAGAAAATTATTATAAAAGGCACTAAGATTTATATGTAAAATTAGATTCCCATAATATATTGATGATTAAAAATATGAATTTTCAGCTGCCTTCACCTTCATGTGATAAAAGCAGTACAAACTTGCTAATTTCTTGACAATTTTTGTTTGGGAGAAAGGGAAGCTAGAAAGCATTTTATGTTTTCCTACTTCTGTGATCGGCAGCAGCAGACTGCAGGGCAGCAGCAGAATGCAGTGCAGCAGCAGCACGCAGGACGCAGGGCAGCGGCAGGGGCAGAGGGTAGGAGGACTTTTACCTTTGTTTTGTCTTTTCTCAATAATACATGTACACACAAAAAATGCATTTCAAAACTTTTGAGGCAAAAATAACCCATGTGGCTACATGCTATGTCATGTTTAGACTTGAGCACGATATAATTTTAGAGAAAATCGTCGTTGTATTGTGCTTAATTTAAATTTTTAAATAAAAATGAAGATAAAACGGGAACCGTTAAATAGAAAAATTCACATAGTGTGTGTATTCAAATTCAATCATATCTTGAAGGAATTAGCAACGAATTCTTCATTTTAGAAGGAAAAAAACGAAAAACAAAAAGAATCCTCCATTTTGGTCGTACGAGATTTGATTGTCCTTGGTGCTATCACATTAATTCATCATGCTAAATAGCATTTTCTTTTCCTCTTCTTTTTTAAATTTCACCATATATCAAAGTGACAAATACACTTAAGTTGCACAACAATTACAGGCAACCAACCTTCCTTTACTGTGGTCGAGGAAGGTCCATGCATGGAGGACACCAAAGGACTGCATGTTCATACGAATGTGGAAAATTATCAATTGTTTTCCATTTTTGCAGAGAGGATTTTGTCCTTGGATGATGATAGTGTAGGTACTAGGCAGCAGCTTAATTAATGTTTGTCATGTTATAACTTTGTTCGGATTTCTATATCTGCCTTTGAAATTAGACTTCTATAAATAAGCAAGCTCCTCCATCAGTATCTCATATCTTCAACAAGCATATTAAAAAGCTTTCTCCTCATTTGCCTTACTTGTTGGTGACCTTCCCTGATCCTCAGGTACAAAGGCTTTGCCTTTCTCTTCGTTTTTAACAAAAATTTGCTTACTTACCTCCCATACTCATCTACTTTTTTTTCTTCAAGGTTTTACTTAGACAAACAGCCACCACCATCTCTGTCTCCATCTTCGACTCCTCAGGTACAGAGTAAATGTGTTTATTGTTTCTCGTTCATCATTTACTTTCTTAATGGTCCTGTTTTAGTCTATCCTTTGCTTTGATAATGGACGGTTGGGATGATCGGTTTTATGGGCTTTGGGTAATTCTGGGTTTGTCATATGCATTATTTCTAGATGATCAAAATTATGTAATGATGTATTCAAACTTTTTTACTTTCCTAAATGATTTATATTATGAACTCGAAGTTGGATGCTCCCACTGATTTACGAACTCAAGTTGTATTCTTTTTCTCATTTTTTGAGTTTGATTGAATATGTTCTCTATTTATTTATTTATGGGTGTGTAAGTTAGAGATCCAGCACCAAAGTTCATTCCAAACTCAAAAACTCCTTTTTTATAAAATTTTATAGTATTAATATTTTTTATTTTGTAATTTTAATTAAGTATATAAATTGGAAACTGCACAGAGGCAGAATGTCGGCGAAAAGGGTTTTTATTTCGCTGCCAAACCTCCATATCCACCACACCATGCAGGCGGTGGAGGCCGCCTAGGAAGGAAAAGCTTTATTAATTTCAACCAAAAAGAAACTACCTTTTTTCTTTTGGTTTTTTATCATTCTGTTATATTGTGATGTTCTTGTTAGGCTTTTGATGGATAACCAAAGAGGCGGTAATCCAGCGGGCAATGCACTAGTCAAACCGTGGTGGTTCCTCGTGCTGCGTACTGTGCTACACGCTCTTGGGGTGGGATACAATTTGAAGTCTACCAATGGGCAAATTTTTCCTTTATTTGTTCGTTGTATTCTACTGCTTCACGTCGTCCGATTTCTCGAGTTCGTGCTTCTCTCCTTTCTTCAATGGTGGTGGAATAGGTAATTATCATCTTGTGTTATGTTTTTTTGTCCGTGTTTGAATGGAATTGAAGTTTATGACTTTTCTTGATATGCAGACCAAACTTAGCAGAACCCTTGTACAATGCAAGGGTGAATGAAGCTCTTCTAGCGGCATTGCAGCAAAGAAACGAACCGAGATTACCGGAAGATGCCCTTTTAAGATTAAGGCAACTTACTGAAGCAAGTGTGGCATCCCTAGAAGAATCGTTGCAAGCATTGCAATGCGCCCAAGAGGCACAACAAGAACTACTTGCTGCCTACAATGATCGTGAACGGTTCGCGAGGGCCCTCGTGGATGAGCTTCAGGTATTTCAACGCTATTGATCGTAATATGTCTGATATCTTTTGATTTCTTTCTTACTAGTGCATTTGATTTAATGCAGTATGCTCAACAAGGGGATAATCCGCGGTAGAGATCCGAGGATGTGGAAGTATTCTTCTATTGGATGTGAAATCTCAAAACTTGTAATTCTTATCGGCACTTCTATGTAAACCGGTGGATCATTAGAATGTTCACCATAACTTTTCTCGTTCCAGATTTTAATATGAGTGGATTTTCAACCCTAAATTGGGAATGTGTTGTTACTTTGCTTCTTCTATATGTTGTCGATTCATCGGTGCTGTAGACGACAGTCTAATACTAATAGTAGTACTGTAATAGCAGTGCATGCTTCTTATCCTTGTAATCGATGGATATGAACACGGTTCAATCCAAATAGCATTTTCAATCAGGCTAGATGCAAACGCGCAAATGTAAACCTCAGTGCTTGTTCTACCTATCTAACTACTAGCCTTTGGATAATAAGTAAAACTGAACTGGTATGAACGAGAGAAATGGTACTGCGTTAAAGTTTGAACCACGGCTTTGATAAATATAATAATTGAAAACAATCACATTAATTGAGATTTAATTTTATAAATTTGAGTACAGAACCATTAGGACCCTACACCTTTGGTAAATACAATAATTCAGCTCCCGAACTTGACAGTGTCAGAGCAGTTAGCTCCCGAACTTGAATTCTCGGACGATCAGGATTACAAAAGAAATCAGCAAACACCTAGTTGTCGTTGAAACCGACTTTGCTTGGCATGATGTTTCACAATCTGATCTGCATGCCATATATATTTTCCAATAACACGATTAAGGTCCAAAAAGTAGTTAACTAAATCAATATAAGCATCCGTGCGTGACAGAGAACCCAAATTTGTGCGACAGATGTTGAAGGACTACTTCAATAGGAAAGAGCCAAGCAAGGGGTTCATTCCTGATGAGGCTGTTGCATATGGTGCTGCAGTTCAAGGTTAAATAAATTTAAGGTTTGAATCAGCATATGCACACATACATGTTTAAGTGTGGTGCTAAGTGTTGTCAACGCAAGAGTTGTACAAAGAACATTTAAATAGATTTAAGGTTCGAATCAGCATTACCTCTGAATTTATCATCCTGCGTAATAATCCAAATGTTTCTGATGTTTCACAAATCATGATACCACTCAATTTAGCGTGTGAAGTTACTTTACGCTCGGCAAGTACATACACAGGGAACAACAGTAAGTTCAGAGAGAGAGAGAGAGAGTTTTTTTTTTTTGGGGGGGGGGGAGGGGAGGGCTTGTTTGACACTGCCAAGCACTGTACGTGAATTTCAACAGGGCAAGGGATAAGTTCAGTACTTGATACAGAATCCTTGAGTCATTCATATATACGGCTTGAAGGATGATCAGAGGTGAACGATGGACAAGCAGTATGCAAAACGTTTACATTCAGGACAAGAATGGGTACCTAGTAACAACAAAGAAATAAGAGGTATTCATCAATTTCCCTCATAAACTTGTGATCATTGGCCAATTTCCCCCCTCAACTCTCATAATTAGTCAATTTCCCCCTCAACTTTAATTTGGCCAATTTCCCCCCTCAACTCTCATAATTAGTCAATTTGCACTCTACTGTTAATTTTTTTTTAATTTTTCATCTATTCTTTTTTTTTTTTCAATCTTTCTAATAACTTCCAACAAAGTACTAAAATTAGCATAAACTCACCTGCATAATATAGGGTAAAATGTACAAAAACATAATACAATTAGTATGTGATATGGGTTGATTATAAGAAAAAGTTATGAATCGGGTTTAAAGCATGTAGAAGAAGAAATAATAATCCTAAACTCATGGATCAGACCTATTTCAATAAAATGTGTTATTCTTAATAAGGAGTCGAAAATTATGAATTGACTAGCCATTTTTGCACTAAAGCTCGATTCTCCACAATTTACTTGAACTTAGCTTTCACTTTTATAAAGAAAATTGTATTCACCTACAAAAATGTACACATCAATCTTTTTCGTTATCAATTTTGTATAGTAAAAAATCAAATAAAATTACTCCATACTGATTTATTTTGACTAATAATACTATCTATGATAAATTGTAAAATTCTAAATTTTAATCTATTTGTAATAGGATAAAGACATAGGAAAATGATTAACATACATCTTATTTAGTTTCTTACACACACTTGTTTACTTATGATCAAATTAAAAAATTAACAGTAGGGTGCAAATTGACTAATTATGAGAGTTGAAGGGGGAAATTGACTATGAGAGTTGAGGGGGGAAATTTGCTAAAATTAAAGTTGAGGGGGGAAATTGGCCAATAGTTACAAGTTCATAGGGGAAATTGATGAATACCTCAAGAAATAAACCTGAAACAATAGCACTGTGTAAATCTGCAGTTAGAAGACACTAAGCAATCTGATTTCCTTCAGGATTGAATGAATGTGTGGTTAGTTTCAACTAAAGACCAACAAAACGTAAAGCATACGGATTGGTAAACTGTCCTTTCTTGGGCAATCTCCTCTGAACCCCTCAAACCGAACAACTCAGTGAAACCCTACCCATTTGCAGGGTCCAATCAAAATTTGAATCTTATGACAAGAACAAATTAAATGTTCAGCAAATTAAACCCCATATATCAATCAAAATTTGATAGTTCTACCATCCAATGGGAAAGTAGTCAACAACTTTTTGTTTTTTAAACTAAACCTTATAATTAGCTTTTTCTTTCACCGTATAAAATCTAATTCCTTTCTTAAGTCTCTTCATATAAAGACAATATCTATACAAGTTAAAAAAAAATTCAATTAATTATGTTGAAATTAATATCTCATGGTAATAGTTTTAAGTTATGACCTTATATTTTTATTGGAATCTTGTTTTTTATTTTATTTTTTTATATTAAAGCTAGTAAAAAGGTTTTGTCCTTATGATGTAATCATCAAATACTTTTCGTAAAAATTTTGAAACTAAACCTTATAATTAGCCTTTTGTTTCACCATATAAAATCTAAGAAGCCTTTAAGGGAAGGGATCCCTATTATTTTTTTTATATAAATGAGGATTAGTTGTGGGATCCACATCACATCGAGTTTTAATGATTCGAACCGTCTATTTTTCAAGTTGCACCTCATAGATCATTATTCTAAAAAATTAGCCAAATCGAAAATATTTAAGACATCTAATTAGATTCAAAGAAATTAACGAATACTTTGTTATATAAGAAACAATGAAATTTTATCCTGATAATTAAATATGCAAATGATTTCGGATTGAATTGATTTTTTGTAAGGATGATCTATGAATTGAGACTTACAAAATAGATGGTTCAAATCGTTGAAGTTCGATGTGAAGTGGGTCCCACACCTAATCCCATTTTTTTCCCTTTGCACAAAGGGCTTGTAAAATCTAATTCCTTTTTTAAGACTCTTCGTATCAGACAAGTTCTATACAAGTTAAAGTAAAATTCAATTAATTACAATGAAATTAATATCTCATGGTAATAGAGGACCTTATGATAAAATCATCAATACTTTTCGTAAAAATTTTGAAGCCCCATCATTCTTGTTTCATAAATTTTCCATGCCAATAATAAAAAAATAAAAAAAACTCTTAAAATTTTCTCCAATTAATTATTTGCTATATTTAATTAGTCTAAGAAAATTAGTCTAATTTCTTTTGTATGTTTTAAAGACCCCTCATGAGAAGGATTTCTAGCTCCGTCACTCTTAACAGCTGCCTCAACAACCTATACAAGTTTGTAAGACCATCTCCAAATGAGATGTCAAATCTTAAGTGGAATGTCATGTAATCAAATTTAAAGGTAGGAGCAAGCTCCAACAGATATGTCAATCCTATGTGGATTGACATATTTGTTTTCATATGTCAAATTTGACATATGAGACCATCTTCAAAGGAAATGTCAAATTATAAGAGTCAAATTACAATTGATGGCTGATTTGACAATCTGAAGCCTTATGTCAAATTTTATAATTCTCCAACCGAATTGTCAGATGTTATTTTATTATTTAAATAGGGTTTTAAATGATTGTAATTATTAAAAAAATGTTGAAATAAATTTTTTATTGGTTGAAATGTTAGTGGAATAAGAGACCCACTATTAAAATGAATTAAAAATAAATTTGACATTGATGTCAAATTTGACATCAAATCACTAAGCCTTCAAATCCAGTCAGCAAATAACATTTCGGTTGGAGAGACTTTTGATGTCAAATATGCACAGTGACATTCCACCTAGGATTTGACATCTCATTTGGAGATGCTCTGAGAAAAGGTGATGTCAAATAATTCTTGAAAATTTATTTTAATTGATTTCTTCTTAAAATGGGTCCTACAAATATTATTTATAACAAAAATATATATATTGGTTGGAAAAAGAAAAAATCTCGCATTGCCAAATCAGCCGTTAAATTAACATTTAACATTTATCTTTTGACATCTCATTTGAAGATGCTCTAAAGATAGCACTTTCACACACACCTAAAAAAAAAAAGCTGTTAAGGATACTAATTATATACAAAAGAATAAAGAAACGCTAACCTAGCAGCTGACAACTTGCATCGTTCTGATCATGCGAGCTCTGCCTCTGGTCCAGCTTATGCTTTTATTTTTCGTGCGCTTCTCGTTGTTGATGCTTTTATTCGTGCGGTAAAGAAAAATGCTTTTAATTGAACCCTTTTATTCCATTGGAACTAATAAATCCCGACTGGTATTGTATTATGATCGTATTATGATCTCACCTACCATAGAGGCACCGACTACCTTTGTTTTTAAATAATAGGCTCAAGTTTCTTGAATTACCGTTGGGAATTAACTTTGCTTTCCTCAAGAAAAAGTTTTCCCTCAATTCATTAAGTGATTGATTTACAAAATTTTATTTTTATAATTAAAATTACTCATATTGTAAAGCACTTTAAAAAAAATTATTTATTCAAAAAATAAATCAAATATAGGATCGTTTAGTTCTTAAATTGTATTGAAAAGGTGGACATATTTAGTAAAAACATTTAAAATTGTCTGTATATTTGCTAAATTAATTAACTATATTTGTGAGGTCCCACATCGTCCAGGGGTGAGGATCCTGTAAGCATTATATGTATATTCCCACCTCCAATTAGCACGAGGTATTTTGGGAGCTCACTGACTTCGGATTCCGTATGAACTCCGAAGTTAAGCGAGATTGCGCGAGAGCAATCCCAGGATGGGTAACCCACTGGGAAGTTCTCGTGTGAGTTCCCAGAAACAAAACCGTGAGGGCGTGGTCGAGGCCCAAAGCGGACAATATCGTGCTATGGCGGAGTCGAGCCAGGGAAGTGGTCCAACCCGGGTCGGGATGTGACAATTTGGTATCAGAGCCAATACCTGGCCGGAAGTGT